TGGGGTGGGTTTACGTATTAAAGGGACACAACCATGATTTCTTTTCTAACTCTTTTAAAACCTTTTCTAAGAAAATACAAAACTGTCAATGTATCAGTTTTTTGATTATATTTTACTTGATATTTGTGATGAACATTCACTCGAATCTTTAGTTTTATTTTTGTTCATTATACTCCTGATATTGAGCATAAGATTTAACCATCCATGAATCATTGTCAGGAGAGGGAGCTGAGAATGTGACTAATGTGTAAAGGGAAAGATGCACATCCTATGGGGGTGTAAGTTAAAGGGAACTTCTACTCCCAAATATAGCTATCGTTATTTCGTGACTTTGGGCTCCCTTATATCGATGTGATCACTGTCCAAACACCTTTTCTGTGTAAATAAATAAGTAAAGTTTACACCCCTCCTTTCCAGTGCCAGGACTCCCCTGCTGCAGCCTCCAGCTCCTCCTCCAGTGATGTCACTATCCAAGCTGAGATCACTCATGATCTCCTCCAATCCCACGTTTCTCTCAGAGATACAATGGTTTGGAACTAGCATTGGTGGCCAAACACTGCACTCCTCCAATCAAATGCTGCAATCAGCTATTGGCAGAATTTAATTCCAGGACAGAGGTTTACTTGGATTGATGGAGGAAGCGCCTCTTGTGGCAGAAGACAGGAAGACAGCCAGTAGAGGTGGATTTAACCCTTTCAATGTATCTATAAAACGTCAATGCTTTACATTGCAGGATTAAAATGACATTGAGATAAAGTGGTCTGGGGGGCATCAGTGGTCATTTAAAGTTTCAGCTATTGACATAGGAATGGATGTGGGCGGGGCGGGGTATCTTACACAGGGGATGGTTTCATTTCTATATTTTCATGTGACTTATCTAGAAATATGCCTGTTCTGGATTCTAATTTAATATCTCCACTCACAAAAATGTGGGACAGTTCCTCCAGATCTGGGAATTGGGTTCTTCTTTATTGATAATAAAAGTAGAGATATTGAGCTATGTGAGAGAGTACAGCTGTAGCAGACCCTGGGTAAGCCGACCGGTTACCGCCGCTATCACCTTCCCTCAACCACTCTAGAATCATCAATACAAGTAAATCCCCATTCTCCCAGTAACCAGACCAAACGTACAGTAGTCCTGGGAGTCAACTAAACTTTATTGTCACACACACAACTTTTATACCCATTCCCCTACATGAGGTTTGCAATGCAAGCATATAGGGGTTTAATCCCAGGATCCTCTCTGCCTGAGAGACAATTGCTTGAGAAAAAATCTCTAATCTCATTATCGCTCAGGTACAGAAAATCCAACAAAATATACAGTCCCCCAAAAGTGTCCCCACAAAAACATTTCCCGATAGCCCCGATCTGAGTGTACAACATATCCAAGAATCACTCAGATTGGTTCGGTAAAACGGGAATGCCATTGAGGTAAAGTTTTAATCAGCCAGATCAATTCCATGAAAAGAGGTGTTCTGACTGGTCTTCGTTTGTGAGGTTCCTGTGCGAACACCAAGCAAGGGAAGCGCTTCATTTTGGGATATGAATGCTCCTCCTAGTCGGTAGTTCATATCTCCCGAATGTCGTTCGTGTAGGTGGTCCCTTTTGTCACTTATTGTGCCATCATTACGCTTATTTAGTGACTCGGCCCCATGTCCCCTGGTTGGCAGATTTCATGAAGGCAAAATACTCATCGCTCTAAGTTTTAAAAGAGTTCCCGGCACTCAACAACCAAGTACCGCTGTCCACGTTCAAGAGACAAGATGGCCGCCACTCTTTTGTCTGTCACGTGTTTGGTTATATGAAATAGCGACCACCCAGGTGAGCATTCATTAATTACTTCCCTTGCGGTATCGCACTTGAGTTACTGGTGTGAACGTTCTAATGGGGTACAAGGGTGATCCTCATTCGGGAGACGAATGGACTTTGTTTATATGAAGTACTCTCGAATGGAAAAAGGGTAAAACACAAGAAAATGGTGAAAAATAGATGAAGAAGCAGTAGTTGTGCCACATATGAGTACCATTCAATTTGGCAATATTAACTGTAATGGCACCCCAGGTACAAAAGGGTTAAAGCCGCCAAAGATATTCCCTTCCTGAACGCAGGATCAGCTACCGAACACTCCACACAGCCTTACAGAAAAATGCATGAATAAATCCCCCCTAAGTACGATACGAGGCTCTGCATTGAGGGTTACTCTGAGCCACCTGTTTGGCTTTTATGCAGGTTTCCCACCAGGTGGACACTCCCCTAGGGGACCTGGTGGAAAACTGTGACAATTTCTTACAATAACCAATCACAACAATACAGCTATAAACACTCCCACCTGAACAATATAGGAGCCTCCTCTCTATTCTGGAGATAATTGGGAAGTAACTCAATTATCTCCGAGGATAGACTATAACCTCCATTTTATACAGGATAATAAAAATACATAAAAATCTATAATTCACAAACTACCAAATGAAAACCCTAGATAGCTTAGATCTGAGAGCATAATATTACCGAATGGCGCTCAGATCATATACATACAGTTCAATCGACATGGAGCCAAAGTCTTTCACATAGTTTATCGTTATACGAATGGGCTCCATGGGACAGCTATCTGGGTGGCTCTGTTCGTATAGAAATGTACCAAACAGTACGGCGTTCGTATGAACGGGAAACCGATGAAGGGAGGTTGGCAGCTTCAGCGGTGTTCGCATGAAAATATTGTTTATTTTTAATTCCATGGATGGATAGTTCCAAGATGGTCGCCACCTCGTGTTCGTTCATATGAATGACGACCACCCAGCCGACCAATCGACAATGGGAAGTGTCTGCGGTTAACCACAACATTCTAATGAGGCCAAGAGGTTAACAAGCAGCACACTTCCCTACTGGGTTCGGCAGTTCTTTCGGTGAAAGGGGAATAAAGCATAGGAACTGTACGCACAGGGCAATACACGAACAAACAGACGAACCAGCATAAAATAAAAATAATTCAAAGACAGAGAGATCTGTCACAGTAACAGCCCCTGGATGTTGGGCTATGGTGACGACCCCAGGATGTACTTGAAAACCAGAGTAATCTGAATGTACCTTTCCTGGTTACATACTTTGTTATTAGTATTATATTACTTATGGAAATTCTTAGAAAGGTTCTGCTTTTATGGTGTTAACCCATTCAGGTTAATACAGCACCTGGCATATCCCTTCTTACTGCAACATTTGTAACAGGTACTGCGTGGGTTAAAGGACTCGTAGCATTGTAATACTCGTAGCATTGAGCGCAATGTTCCAAATTGGGGTTACATGTTGGTGTGCTAAAATTAGCACTATTTTATATATTTTCTTTTGATTGCTGAAAATGCTAATTAAGAGGATATAACACACACCCAAAACAAACACGTAATATGAAAAGTGAGTTAAAAAAGTATAAATTTTCTGCAATTTTTAGTAATTATATAAAGATCTGCTGATACCTGGTGTATTATTTAACATGGATTGATACCCAGTTAGAATGTAGGGGGATTCACTACTGCCTGACGCACGTAGCCGGCCTCTGCAGCGGGTTAGGAAGTACAGACCGCAAACTGTGATAAATCAGGTAAAACCTTTCGTACCACAGTTGGACAGATGTCCAGACAGACAGACTGTCTCTCGAGTGAGGAGGACACTAAGAGGATGAATTTTAATGAAGAGTAAAAAAGCTGAAAAAAAAGAAAAAAAAAAGAAAGAGAAAGAAAAAGAATAAGTCCCTCTTTGTGTGTGGAAGAGGTGGTGAAAGGAAGTCTCTGCCTGCAGCCCAAGGACGGATTGCTGGCTCCCCTCGTCTAGGTAGGGCTTGTACTGACCACATACTCTGTAGAATTGCGCTTCTCGTATTCGCCGGTACAATCTATGTTACCCAAACATAACTGCCGCATGCCCTGCTCTCTCAATACTCTGCATTCAATCCACCTAAGGGTTAATACAGGCACTGACCCATTGTTAACCCCTTCATTCCCAGACAGCTTTCATTCTATCCGCGGAAGAGATAAAATAACTTCTGTACGATCACTAGCTGTCACCGTGGCCAGACTAATATTGTAAAACTAGGAAACGTCATTAAAACACCTCACAATCGCACAACACCCATCAATATTTTTTAATCTGTTTTATTTAATTTGCTTAAATGTGTATGAAGAAAGGAACAGTTTTAGTAGATAACGTATGTGTGACAGACAATGGTTTGGGTATAACACCGGAACGTATCGCCCATATTTAGGGATGAGCTGTTGGTTTGGTAGCTGTTTTTTTAACCAGTACACAAACAAACAAAACGCGGCACCGCGATCAGAGTCCATTACTGAATACTGACCAGAGAGATATAGAAAATACATTAAAAGAACTCACATATAAATGATTATCACAATGTGAAATAGAAGGATTTAATGATGTCACAGGACTGTATCGGCTAATATTGTATCAAAGTATCCTAACGTTGATGTGTCCACATCTGCTATCTCCTCACTTTGCTACAGTATATTCCAGATATACAGGGACACTATGACCACATGATCTCATTGAAATGGTCTCTGTGCTCTCCCTGTCCCACTTAGTGCTGCAATGTAAAACATTCTAGTTTTAGAGCAGCCACAGTGTTTACATCGGAGGGTTAAGCCTGCCGCTAGTAGCTATCTATCAGACTGCCACTAGAGGCGCTTCCTGCTGTTTCATGGAGTTTGAATCCTGTGAATTGATGCCGGACGTCTTTACGCCCTGCATGAGGGCGTCCAATATGTTCAAATCAAGACACTTTCATTCAGTGCTCTCCGATGGGGAAGGCTTTATGAACCGTGCTATCTGTGCTTGCCCATTAGTTTCTCCCCATTGCCGAGGTTGGAGGAGGTGGAGATAGAGCCAGCACCAAGAGATTTCCTCTAAACCAAACACTGCATGGACGAAACCTGAATCGAACATTGCATGGACCAAACCTGAATCGAACATTGCATGGACCAAACCTGAATCAAATAATGCATGGACCAAACCTGAAACAAACACTGCATGGACTAAACCTGAATCAAACACTGCATGGACCAAACCTGAATCGAACATTGCATGGACCAAACCTGAATCAAACAATGCATGGACCAAACCTGAATCAAACAATGCATGGACCAAACCTGAAACAAACATTGCATGGACCAAACCTGAATCAAACACTGCATGGACCAAACCTGAATCAAACACTGCATGGACCAAACCTGAATCGAACATTGCATGGACCAAACCTGAATCAAACAATGCATGGACCAAACCTGAAACAAACACTGCATGGACTAAACCTGAATCAAACACTGCATGGACCAAACCTGAATCAAACACTGCATGGACCAAACCTGAATCAAACACTGCATGGACCAAACCTGAATCAAACACTGCATGGACCAAACCTGAGTCAAACACTGCATGGACCAAACCTGAATCAAACAGTGCATGGACCAAACCGGAATCGAACACTGCATGGACCAAACCGGAATCGAACACTGCATGGACCAAACCTGAATCAAACACTGCATGGACCAAACCTGAATCAAACACTGCATGGACCAAACCTGAATCGAACACTGCATGGACCAAACCTGAATCAAACACTGCATGGACCAAACCTGAATCAAACATTGCATGGACCAAACCTGAATCCAACATTGCATGGACCAAACCTGAATCGAACACTGCATGGACCAAACCTGAATCCAACAGTGCATGGACCAAACCTGAATCAAACAGTGCATGGACCAAACCGGAATCGAACACTGCATGGACTGCATGAATCGAACACTGCATGGACTGCATGAATCGAACACTGCATAGACCAAACCGGAATCGAACACTGCATGGACTGCATGAATCGAACACTGCATAGACCAAACCGGAATCGAACACTGCATGGACCAAACCTGAGTCAAACACTGCATGGACCAAACCTGAATCAAACATTGCATGGACCAAACCGGAATCGAACACTGCATGGACTGCATGAATCGAACACTGCATGGACCAAACCTGAATCGAACACTGCATGGACCAAACCTGAATCGAACAGTGCTAAATATAAACTAAACATTTATATTCAATTTCTTTTTACAAGCGAAACCACATTTTTCCTCCATGTATAAGTAGAGTTTATTCCACCGAGGACACTTGACGTGAGCCCCTGGGATGTATGTGTTAAGGTATCTAGGAATTTATCCTGTTCCCATCACCACCTGCTTGACTGTGGTGTCCCTTTCATCACTTATTGTGCCATCGTTACTATTAGTTAGTGACTCTGCCCCTTGTCCCCTGGCTAGCAGAATGCATGAAGGCAAAATGCTCAGACACAAAGCAAACACAAACAATGACACAAAGAATGAACAGTGATCAGATCGGCAACTGCTCAGCTCAACACAAAGAACAAGAAGTATAAAAAATATCATTTAGTACTTATTTGTGATTAAAAAAACCAAAAACGGCCAACAAGTTCAGGAATAAAATAATATAAAATATTACATGGAGAGCTGCAAGAATAGAATTATCAAGTGATTTCTCGTAGCCTGTAAGCTTGTTAGGGTTTCCTGTGTCTGCTATTCCTAAATAACTGCACTGTATGATTGTACAGCACTGTGGATCAGGTTGGTGCTATGTAAATGCTAATAATTATAATAGAATAGTTTCCTGTTATGATTGATGGAATTGGTGAACCTTGTATGCTGGTAAAGCCGACATAAAACAATATCCACAAATTGCACATCAGACACATATTCCACTTTTCAGTACAAAGTGTTTTTCATATTTTGAAACTGTTATGCTGTGCAGTGATACGATGTTATCAGTAGATGATATTCTTCTTTAATGACAAATAATAATCAGATCCCCACATCCATCTTTTTAGCAGTGAGCCTGAGGGAGCTACGAGGAGCCATGGCAAGTCACAGAGAGCTATGGGGAACCACAAGGAGTCACAGGGAACTACAGGAAGCCATGTGGAACTATGAGGATCGAAAGGGAGCTACAGGGAACCATGGGAAGTCACAGGAATCTATGGTGAGCCAGCCGCGAGTCACAGGGAATTACTGAGAGTCCTGGGGAGTCACATGGAGCTATGTGGAGCCATGAAGAGTAACAGGGAACTATGGGGACCCATGGGGAGCAGTAGGAAACTATGAGGAGCCAAAGGGAGCTACGGGGATCCATGGAGAGTCACAAGTGACTACTGGGAGCCATGGGGAGTCAGCAGGGAGTCACGTGGAGCCATGGGGAATTACAGGGAATCATGGGGAGCTACAGGGAGCCACAGTGAATTACAGGTAGGTACAATGAGTAATGTGGAGCCACAGGGAACATATTTGAATTTCCATTTTAGACTTATGGAGATCCAAAAAATATGTAAAGAAGTACAAACTAAGAGATAACCCACCCAGGAACATCTCAAACGGTTATATCTTAATTGTGCTTAGACAGGGAGACGATATTATGTCCATGTCAGACTGATTTCCCCACAAGGACAATCTGAAAGCCAAACATTCCGCAGGTCCCATCTGATTGATGGTAACAGTAACTCAGACATGGTGTCAGCGTGGTATAGCTGGGTACTCGAGGGAGCAAGACAATATATATTGTGTTCATTGATTTGGCATTATTTATCGGTTTTATTGTGTCAGGCATGTGGCAGGCGATGTGCGTATGAAAGTCTCTGTAAATGGCAAGAAGTGAGCGTGACTCAGAAGAGAAATATTTCAATTCTTTCCTAAATATACCGGGGAGGCCGTAAATAGCCATCTCTGGGCTAGTGGTTAGCACGAGGTGGACAAGTTTTATAGCCTTAATATATGTAAGAAAGCCACACTTTCCACTCATTTATTTCCAATCTATTATTAGACTGTTTATTATAATTAAATGTTGGTTACGGTGGTTAAGGATTACGGGATTTGCTCAGATAAAGTTACAAATAAATAAATAATAATATTCAGAATGTATAGAGAAAGGACTTATTACTTGGGCTGTAACACGTTTTCAGGGAAGAAATAACTTATTTGGAACGTTTTAAACTGCCACCTACCACGAGCAGTAAGTCCGCAATGTTAACTCTAACAGTGAAACAAAAGATGTTTGTGGACTACGTTGCCCATCATGCTTAGCCAATGAGCAATGAGCTCCATTTTTTGGAACAATAAAACACTTTGACAACTTGAGTTTTTAGTTCAGGATGTGATATGAAACTGACCCGTATACCAACGTTCTATGTCACTTTTTTAAATTGATTTTTGCAACTCATTTATCTTTGTGTAAAGTTATACAATTACTTATTTTCTGTAGAACCACATAAAGCCCAAAAATGGTGCAATGAGAGAAACCAGGCTTTTCACTAAACTGAGATTTGTCTGGACACAATGTTAGATTAAAGCTGAACGTGAAACCTTAGCAAGGTACGTACGATTCCATCTCGGCTGCTTCAGCCGAACGTTTACAGTTCCCCAGATACTCAGTTTGATGAGTAATAGCATAATATGTCTGATAAGGACCAGACAAAAATGAAATCACAATATTAATAATAAAATACTCCCAGAATAACGGGCCAGCTCAGCCAGATGGGGACATTTAGGAAAGAGTGTACTTCAAAAAGTCAATAAAAACAAAGCAAATAATTTATTGTAAAACTCACTTCACTTTTTTTTTTTTTTTAAAACATTCTTTCAGTAGTGCAAGTTCAGGGTTCTCCAAATTCTGGCCCTCTGTATGTTGCTAAACTACAAGTCCCATGACTCTCTGGCTATCTATTTCATTCAAAGAATAATAGGAGTTGTAGTTTGGCAACACCTGGAGGGTCAGAGTTGGGAGAACCCTGCGCTAGTTAATGCATATATCCCTCTAAATTACAAGTAGCTGTTTTATGGACATAACAGCGCTAGCGATAAAAAGAAAACGTAATCATTGATTGATAACATTTATTAGCACAGCTTCCCTATCTAGCTAAGCATGGCAGACATTAAATAATGCTTAAATATGCCCTGAATTGCACTCAGACTGCACACAATGTAACCCCTTAATACGTTCTAACCACACACGTACATTTACATGCCAATGCATCATAAACACTGCTCCGCCTGTCACTGGGCTATGAAAAGACAAATAAAATATTATACTGTTCTGTATATATAACTTTAGGTGGACAATTCAAATTCCCTCCTCTGATTAGCAGACTTTTCCCCTTGACTCATAAACCTCAATGATTTTTTTCCTAGCTGTGAATAAACACACAGCGCGTCCATCAGGGCTGGGCAAATCATGTGGAATTCAGAGCGGACAGATCCTTGGTCTGCCCATGGCCTCTTGGCATCTGGCATTTGTGGGAACTTTATTTTATTTGTCTGAACCCTGGAAATATTGAGCCGACCCCAGGCAAGCAATGTATGTTCTGTCCCAGTGACGGTTCAATGTTCAATAAGACCCAGTTTCTCAGAACTAGCAGTAGAGTCCACTAAAGGTTCGTACTGGAAGAGGGTATTTTTGCCCATGTCCTTGGAAGTTAGAACATGCCACAAATCTCGTTTTTCTCCCCAAAAGGTGCTTTTAAAATGTGATATTCATTTTGAAAGATTCTCTGCACCTTGCAATATTTGTAGATCCTTGTATTTCCTCAGCGAAAGATGTACTGATGGCATGGAAGCTCTTCATGCATTTTTCACAGTAGTAAGAAGTAAGATTAAATAGTGCTTATCACAGTTGCACTATCCTCCCACACCGAGCTGGTGTAAGATTCGAGCATTGTGTGTTTTCATGACAGCACCGAGAATGAGCCCTGTGCCCACACGAACTGCCACAATAGAGAAACTGTGAGCAAAAACCCTTAAATAGCTCAAGGAGCAAAACCTATGGTTTTCTTCTTATGGCTATGGGCTGGGCAATGCATTGGTCAAGGAAATAATTAAAAATCCTTGTATTCCTGGCACTAGAGAATCCCTTTAAGGGAGCTAATAATAGACTTGCACATGTCGAGAAATTTCAGTTCTGACAAATTATTTTTTCCAAAGATTGAATGTTTTGGAGGACAGGCGAAATTCAACTGGAACTGGCAAATGGTCAAAAATGGACCAATCAGGGCTTTTGAACACATACCCTCCCCCCATGTTCAGATACATTTAGCTTGGAATTCGGGAATTTGGTCAAACATTAGATCATTAGATCAGCCTAAATTTGGCCGAGTTGCAAATGAATCTCCGAGTCTGGTTATTGATATATCTCACTATACCATGGCTAGAGCCCATATGAAAGCCATGATTTTTTCATTCATTTGTATTCTGTTCATTGATATGTTTTCTATAAAAGAAGAATGTATCTATAATCTACCAGGATCTCACTCCATACAAACCTCAGATTCCTTTCTCATCCTAAGTATGTCTGTGAAATGTGAGACAAAAAGTCTGAACATGACTTTTTTACCGATTTCAGCCAAACTCTCAGAAAACTGCAGACTAATCCTTCTCAGCTTGCATTTTATTCCCTGTATTTTTGCGCAGTACTATCCCGATGTCTTCCTCAGTCTGACTTTACTAAGAGCTATTTTGGTTCGATTTACGCCTGTCTTGTAAGTTTATGAATTTAAGCCTTCAGAGTTTTGAGAATCACAGACACCGACCCTGGGGAGTCTCCATCTCGTTGGAGTCCTGTCTTTTGAAGTAATAGATAGCTGTTCGGCCCAGCAGATGATTGCCTGATGCTGAGCTGATACTTATCACTTCCTCTGCTGAAATCCCTGAGTCGCACTGGTCTGGTTCATTGTCCGAATCATTAGGCTACTTAAATGAGGTGCAAAACA